GATCGGTCAATGTACGAGCGGTGATGGTATGAACCGTTATGTTACGGGCGATCATGGTACCGGTGACATCAACGGTCATCCAAACTGCGACGCGATTGGCGGAGCTAGCAGGAAGCGGGGACGGAGTTCGAGTGAGCTTGATCTCGCGGAGGGAGGGAGTTTTATGTCGTCAAGAGTTCCCGGTTTTTCGGTGAATGAGAGGGACAGCGGAGCGGGTGATGAGGGGAGAGCAGAGGAGGACGAGGGAGAGGAGGAGGAGGCGGAGGAGGAGGAGGATGACGGATTTAGCGAAGATTTAGAGGAGGATCACGGTTTAGCGGATATAAATTGTACGTCCGTTGACGGAAACGATGACGCCTTTTTTCGCGGAGCCGTTGAGGAGGGGGGTGACGAGGGCGGCGGGTTTGAAACAGCCGTCAATCCTGCGTCCTCGATATACGCGGCCTCGTTATACGCGTCCTCGTTGTCCGCGCATCCATTGGCTCAAGCTTCCATGGACGCGAACCCACTATCTGCGGCAGCTAACCGGTTAGGGTTCGGTATTTCAACGAATCCATTGTTGGGCCTTAGAAGGTTCCTGGAAGTTGGGGTTGCGGGTGACGACGGCCGGGATGCGGCTGATACGTGTCGCGAAGGCGAAGCTGACGTGGCCGCTGAAGCCGGAGCTGACGTGGAGCGAGCTGGAGAAGTCGCAGCGCACACACCGAAGGCTGACGTGGCAGCAGCGGAGAGCACGACGGAGGGGTTACTCCCCGACGAGGTCATTCTCGAGATCATCGCGCGGGTCTCCGACGCGCGCGCGCGCAACTGCTGCGCGCTCGTCTCGCGGCGATGGCGCACGAGCGAGCGCCTCACACGCACCTCCCTCTCCGTCCGCCTCTCCCTCGCGGACCTCCTGCAGCTTCCGCGATGCTTCCCAAACGTGCGCCGACTAGACCTCTCGCTCTGCCCCCCTTGCGGGCAGCCGCTGCTGCTCGCGGGATCCGCGCTTGAGGTCGCTACAACGCTCCGCGCGGCCTTTCCGCGGGTGGCCTCTCTCCGCGTGCACGTGCGGGACCGGAACGACGTGCAGTGCGTGGCGGCCACGTGGCCGGGGCTGGAGCACGTGGCTCTGATCCGCTGGCACGAGTTTTCTGCAGCGGAAGCAGCAGCAGCAGCAGCAGCAGCAGAGCAAGGAGCAAACAACAATAACACCGGAAACCCTAATCTGAATGCGAACCCACTAGGAACCCTAGAGCTGACCCCTTTGCTGGTGATGTGCAGCCGAGTACAGAGCATAGACCTATCCGAGTTCACGTGCTTCCCTGACCATGTTACTGATGCCTTCACTGCCGCCCCCCAAGCCGCCGCCGACACCGCCGCCGCCGCTGCTGCTGCTGTTGCTTCGGCCGCAGGAGCAGGAGGAGCAGCAGGAACGGAACCCCCCTACAAGCCCACCCGCGCGCCTCTCCTCCGCCCCTCCGCGCCCATCTCCGCCCTGCACCACCTGAACCTCCTCAAGTCCTCCCCAGGCGCCTTCAAAGCGTCAGACATCCGCTCAATCCTCTCTTCCGCCGGCCGCACCCTCCTCTCCTTCCGCTGCCTCGTCGAATTCGACCCGCGCCTCTCCGATTCCCTCTCAGACGAAACCCTAATTGAGATAACCGAGAGGTGCCCGGTGCTGACGGCGCTACAGCTGGTGGATTCCTCGCTCTGGGCGGCGCCCTCGGGTTTGTCGCTGGCGCTCGGGGACCATGACGACGCGCTGCCGCCCGATATGGATGCAAGGGTTACTCCGGGCGGCATTCGCTCGTTTCTAGTGCGATTGCCGGGATTGGAGGAGCTGGATTTGCGGCCGGCGCAGTATTTGAGGGGGGCAGATGTGAGTCTGTTTGGCGGCGCTGCTGGTGCGTTTGGTGGTACCACTGGTGGTGGTGGAGGGAGGGGTGGGGTGACAGCAACGGTGAGTCTGGGGCAGCTGAGTCCAAACCTGAAGCGGCTGCGTCTGGGACAGCTGGTTTTCGCCCACAATGACTCGCTGGCGCCAGTGCCTGCATCAGGGGAAGGTACATCCGGGGAAGGTACATCTGCACAGGGATCATTTGGGAAAACACCCTCCTCCTCATCTGCATCATCCGCAGCAGCAGCACAAGGAACCACCACCCCTCCCTCCACCTCCACCATCCTCCCTCAGGGACTTGAAGCCTTAGACTTCTGGCAAGCCCCCTCACTGCCCCTGCGCTGCCTGCTCCCCCTCGCCCTCTCCTGCCCGCGACTTAAAGAGCTCAGCATCTGGGGCTGCCCGGACCTGACCCCGCCGAGCCTGGAGGCCGTGGCTCGGGTGTGCCGGCACTCGCTGGTCCGGGTGACTGTAGTGAAGTGCTGTAATTTGCCCACAGCAGCGGTGCTCAGGGCTCTTTCCCCCGTTAGAAGCACGCTGCAGCACCTGCACTGCTCCTGCGACTGGTTCTGCCCGAACAGCAGCGTGGCTCCCGTTTCCCCGGTTCGAAGCGGTGCAGATGGAAATGGCGACGGTGCTGATGGTACTGGTGCCGGTACTGCTGGTGGTGCTGCTGGTGAAGGGGCAGGGGATGGCATGGTGAAGCAGGCAAGGGGGGAGGCGGCGACTGGAAGGCAGGGCGGGGACTGACGGTACAGATGAGTTGCTGTGTGGCTCAGAAGCAGCACAAGACCCGTCCACCGCACCAGACTCCTCCCAATGGCCTGCTCTGCAGTCCCTCACTCTCCTCGCTGCCCTGTCGGCTCGCAGCCGGCCCCGAGGCGGCGGGCTGCGGTTCCTGCGGCTCGATTTGACGCAAGTGGTGGGGCATTCGCTGAGCTGCCCTCCCGGACTAGCCTATGATGTGATGGCCTGGGAAAGGTTTTACCTGCATGGGATTCAGCAGCTTCCAGAGCTTGAGTCGCTGCACTATTGGCCGCCGTCGGACTGCGATCTCAACCGTCGATCCATGTCGATGCCATCGGCGGGGATCCTCGGATCGTGCCAGTCGCTGCGCCAGCTGGCGGTGCATTGCACGACAGCCAATGAGCATCTGCTGAACGTGGTGGTGCGCGGAGCTAGAGGCATGCGGGATTTGCACGTGCTGGGGGATTGCTATCCCGCTCCCCCGGATGACACGTATGCGGGCATGCTCCGGCCGGTTTCATTTCAGAGGCTGATTAAAGTGCTGGATGAGAGAGGGTATCCTGACTGACTGATTGATTGTGAGAAGGGTTTTGAGGCGCCTCCAAAATTGGTTCCGTTCAAGAGGCTGATTCAGGAACTGGACGCAAGAGGGTGTCTAGACTAGATGGATTGGCTGATTTGATTGTGAGAGGGGTTGCGGGAGAGCAACGCAGGTTGTGCCCTTGCCTGTGCCTTTCTTGCTTGTTCGATTGCCTGCGTACACCAATGAGCAAACGGGGTAGGATGATGTATGAGTGCTCCCCGTGTCAAGAGATGTGGTACGGTAATGGATTGTTGGTACGGTATCAGAAGGTGCACATTGTACATCCAGAAAGCATCCATTACATGGCTGCTGAAGCAGCAGCAACAGAGTCACATGGTCCATCTAAACCGTTTTCCTGCACCTCTAATCAGAGTCACATCTACCATACCAAACTCTTGAGATTCAATGCGTTTCAGTACACTTTACGGTACGGTACCGTATGCCGATATCGGCGGTTGAAAGAGTTGAAAAGAGTCTGATCAGATGAAAGGTTTGTAAGAATATAGGTTTAGGAACATTGCATTATTCACTGCCAGACCATCATTGCATATTCAGCGCCAGCCAGACCAGATACATGCTGTGCTGAGCTGACCATGTGGTTGCTTTCTTGCCTTGCATGACTAGACGCTCCTCACCTCCTCAAGCTCAAATCAACACAAGAATGCCAGCGGGGGCAGCCAGCCAAGCCAACCCCCTCAAGCCTCCGTGAACGCCAATCCGAGTTCATCAGTGCGCCCGAGCCAGTTTCAGTACTGTTGAGTTGAGCACGTGACTTGCTCGTTTGAGGCGCGTGTACGCACGGTGGGCTGCTTGCATGCGGTACGTGCGCAGCGCAGCGCAGCACACATTATAAGAGTTCACATGTCAGTGAACGCCAACCCCAGCATGCCTGTGCGTTTGAGCCCGTCCCAGTACTTATTGAGCATGTGATCGCCCGTCTTGAGGCAGAGAGTGTCGATGCAAGAAGACCAGCCAGCAGCAGCAGCAGCAGCAGCAGCAGCAGCAGCAGCAGCAGCAGCAGCAGCAGCAGCAGCAGCAGCAGCAGCAGCGGTAGCCAATCAACCCTCAAGTGTCAGTGAACGCGAACCCGAGCCCATCGGTGCGCTTGAGCCAGTCCCTGTATTTGCTGAGCATGTGATCGTCCCTCTTGAGGCGCGCGTCAGCAGCTGGAGGTACTACTGGTATTACACTCGTAAGTCTCTGTGAAAGCCAATCCAAGCCCGTCAGTGCGTCTGAGCCAGTCCCAAAACTTGCTGAGCATGTGATCGTCCGTCCTGAGGCGTGTGTCAGCAGCGGGAGCCTGGAGTTACTGCTGCTACTTCACTCTCTTGAGTCTCTGTGAAAGCAAGGCCGAGCCCGTCGATGCGTTTGAGCCAGTCCCAGTACTTGTTGAGCATGTGATCGTGTTGTGTGAGGCATGAGTCAATGCAAGTAGGCCAGCAGCGCCAGCCAACGAACCCTCAAGTGTCAGTGGTGAGTGCCAATCTGAGCCCGTCTGTGCGCTTCAGCCAGTCCCAGTACTTGTTCAGCATGTGGTCGTTAGGCCGCACCTCCCCTCCCTCTCAACACCAGGAATCAAGTCTCTGTGAACGCCAATCCGAGCCCGTCAGTGCGCTTCAGCCAGTCCCAGTACTTGTTAAGCATGTGGTCGCTGGGCCTCACCTCCCTCCACCTGCCCTCACAGAATATGGCATGCGCGTCCGCTGCGTACCTGCCCGTGGTGACGAATGGAGGGGGAGGGATGTGATGTGAGAGCACAGACAGGCACAGGACTTATAAAGCATGTGATTGTTAGGCAGCACCTCCCTCCACCTGCCGTGGTGAAGAATGGAGGGGGAGGGACGTGAGAGCACAGACAGGCACAGGACTTGTGATTGTTAGGAAGCACCTCCCTCCACCCGCCCTCACAGAATATGGCATGGGCGTCCGCTGCATAACTGCCATGATGAAGGGGAGAAGGAGGTGGGGCAGAAGGGGAGGGATGTTAGGGCATGTGGTCGTTGGCCTCTCCTCCCACCAACTGCCCTCACAGAATATCGCATGTGCGTCCGTTGCATACCTGGCGTGGTGAAGAACACACAGCAGGCAACAGGCAGCAGCAGGCAGCATGAAGCAGGCAGCGGAGAGTGTAAGAGAGCAAGAGAGCAAGAGAGCGAGAGAGCGAGAGATCGAGAGAGCGAGAGAGCAAGAGAGCGAGAGAGCGAGAGAGTGAGAGAGCGAGAGAGTGAGAGAGTGAGAGAGCGAGAGAGAGAGAGAGAGAGAGAGAGAGAGAGCAAGAGAGAGAGCAAGAGAGAGAGAGAGTGTGTGAGAGTGATGTGGAGCAAAGGCAGGCACAGGAGAGACCGGGAAATAATCGACAAAGAGCAGGGAGCACACAAAGGCAGAAACAGCTTCAGACCTCCAACATCTCATGCTCCACATCTCATGTCCCCTGCCATAATCACTACTTCACCCCCCCCCCCCTCCCCCAAGCACGTACTTCCCAATGCCGTGCAGCTGCCTCACGTCCGTCCAACCGCCCCTCAGGAACTCCTCTGAGAACCGTTGGATCATGGCGGCGCGCTTGTTGTGCAGCCCCAGGGACTGGATGGTGCGCGCGATCTCAGCCGTCGGTGCTGCTATGGCTGCCTCTGGGGAGGGGATGAGGCGGAATAGGTCCCATATCACTTTATGGAGCTGCAGTGGGGATGAGGGGGGGGGGGGGGGGGGTGGGGGTGGGGGGGTGTTGGGGGAAGGGGAGGGGGAAGGGGTCATCAACAATGGTGGGTGCAACGATGGTGGAACTAGACGAGGGGATGAGGCGGAATAGGTCCCAGATCACTCCATGAAGCTGCGGGGGGTGGGGGGCGGAGAAGGGGAGTGAGGGCAATCTCAGCCGTCGGTGCTGCTATGGCTGCCTGTGAAGAGGGGATGAGGCGGAAGAGGTCCCAAATCACTTTATGGAGCTGCAGTGGGGTTGGGGGGGGAGGGGGGGGGGAAGGACGGTAGGATGAGAGGAAAGGAGGAGGCGGAAAAGGTCTCAGATCACTTTATGGAGCTGCAGTGGGGGTTTCGCGGGAAGGGGGATGGGGGCGGGGAAGAGGAAAGAGGGTGGGGGAGGTGTAGGGAGAGAGAGGAAGGGGAGAGGGAAAGGTGAGGGGTCAAGAGGAACTGGCGCAATGAGAGGCGTGAGTGTAGCGATGGTCGAACTAGTCGAGGGGATGCGGCGGAGTAGGTTCCAAATGACTGGGCGGAGCTGCGGGGACAGGGAGGAGGCGGGAGCAGCAGAGAAAGAAAAGGAGAGGGAGAGGGTAGGGGAGTGCGGGATTTACAAAGACTGGTGCAACAAGGTCTGTGGGTGCAGCAAAGGCAGATTGAGGCAGGGGATGAGGTGGAATAGGTCCCAACTGGACCGGTGGAGCAGGGTCAGAGGGAGGAGCAGGGAGGCATGAGAGGGAAGCGAGGGATCAAAAGAGACTAGTGCAAGTAGAGGCGTGAGGGTGAGTTGAGGCGTGAGGGTGAGTAGAGGCGTGAGGGTGAGTTCCGCGATGGTAGCTTTGGTGGAGTGGATGAGGCGGAATCGGTGAATCAGAGGTCCAACGCAAAGAGGAAAGCGGGTTGCAACAGGGAGACATGGGGGAATGAAGGAAACGAGGAAGCGAGGGGGAGAGGGGGCTTAGGGAGAGTGAGGTTTGGCCGGTAGAGTTTTGCAGCAGTAATGTGGTGTTGCACTCCGTGGCAGCATTGCAAAAGATAGCAGAGAAAAAACTGGAGCGCCGATGCCGGGGATCGAACCCGGGTCTCTCGCGTGACAGGCGAGGATACTCACCACTATACTACATCGACTTTGTTTCATGAAGTCACGAACACCACCGCTACTCAAAATCTAAACTATACCTGCTAGCTGTCTTTTTCAGGGGCATGCATGCAACTAGCTTTGAGACGTCTCAAACGAGACTCAGCAATGTCATTGCGGACTCTCACCTGCCTGCCAGCCGTCTTGTTTAGCAGCATGCAGGCAACCAGCAGTTTCCACGGGTCACGATACAGACGCTCCTGAGTGGGGGAGGAAGGGGGAGAGTGGAGGGAGGTGGGGTGGAGAATGGAGCAAGGGAGAAGAGAGGGGGTAGAGAAAGAGTGCAGAATGAGCAATAGGAAAGGTGTGGGTGACACCTCAGCAGACCGTAGCCCACCACAGTGCACCGCACTCAACAGCAGCCCACCTGGATGAGGCCAAAGGGAGAAACAGGCGGCACCCACGCCCCAGTTGACGCCGCCACACCATCAGTCCCAGTCACTCCGCCTGCTTGCACTGCTGTCACTGCGCCCTCGCCCTCCTGCGCTTGTGAAGCCAAACCATCAGTCCCCGCCATTCCACCTGCTTGCACTGCTGCCTCTGCGCCCACGCCCTCCTGCCCTTGTGCTGCCACACCATGCGACCCCATCACAAGGCCTGCTTGCGCTGCTGCTACTGCACCCTCCTGCACTTGTGAAGCCACACCATCTCCTTCTTGCTTGATCCCTACATCTGCTGCGCCGGCCCCCCCTGCTCTGCCCCCTCTCCTCTCCCCCATCCCTCTGCCCCTCCTCTTTCTGCCGTTGCCAGCCACAACCCCACCCGCTCTCCCTTTCTTCTCTCTGTCCCACCCTCCCTGCCCTCCCTGGTCTCGCCGCCCCTTCTCCTCTGCACTACCCCCCTTACACCCGTACCCTCTGTCCTCACTCTCCCCCTCCACCTGGCCGTTGCAGTCCCTCTCTCGCGTCTCCTCTGCTTCTGCGCGACCCTCACACTCCTCCCTTTCATACTCCTCTTCGTCTCCACCCACAAGCACGGATGACGTTGATGACGTGGCACACCACCCTGCTGACTCGTACGCCTCCCCCCCTCCCTCTCCACCTCTCATAACAGCAGCGGCGCCTCTCTCCCTCCCGTCCTCTCTCCTCTCTTCTCCCCTGTCTTTCGTCCCGGCCTCCCTCTCCTCCTTCTCCTCCCTCTCTGTAACCTTCCCCACTCCTGCCATCGTGCATCGACCAATCACAGGCTCTCCTTCTCTCCCCTCCATCCCCCTTACACACTCCACGCCCTTCACCCCCACGGTACCTCTCAACCTGTCTCCGTGGCTCAATCCCCTTCTGCCACGTGGCAGAGTCACAACAGGCAGTGCCAGCACAATAGGTGCACCCTCGTGCCCTCTGCTCCACCCCACAGCCCATTCCCCTTCCCTCTCCGCTCCCCCTCCCCCCTCCCTTGCCCCTTCCCCCTTCGGTCTTCCTTCCCCTTTGCTCCCCATCCACTTCTCCCTTCCGGTCTCCCTCCTTGGTTCTCTTCTCACTCCCTTGACCCCTACAACGTTCTCCTCTCCGCCATCTGCCCCTTCTCCTCCCCTTTCCGCCACACCCCCTCGTCTCCTCTTTCCTCTTCCCTCTTTCGTTCCTCCCCCACTCCCAATGCCGTCACCCACGTTGCATCCACCTCCGATTTCCACGCCCCCCCTTTTGCCGTTAATTGCCCCATTTACATCGCCTGCTGCACGGGTGGGACTGCTTCCGCGCAGTTTCTTGAAGCCGCAAAAAAGAGACCTTTGCGGACTGCCCGTTGCGGGACCAGGTAGGTTGCTAGTGAGTAATTTCTTCGGGCTGCACGTTGCTGCTTTTTCTGGACTGCCCGTTCTCGATTTTCCCGGGCTGCCCATGAACCGCCATTGGTCGAAACTATCTGATGATACTCCTGGGGACGCCGGTACGTACGGTACGGGGACGTTTGGGGAGAGCGGGAGAGAGCCGCGCGGAACGTAAGGAGAAGGGGAAGCTTGCGGGGAGGGGGAGGCAGGTCCAGCGCGCGGAGGAGTCTGCGGAGGAACGGTGGGCTCCGCGTGCTGCGCGCCCGACGAATGCGGGGAGCAAGGTGGAGCGGGGGGCGGCGGAAAATGTGGGGGTACCGGCGCAGCGCAGTGCGGAAGGAGGGCGGGGAAGGCCTCCGGCTGGAGCGACGGCAGCGCGGACGCCACTTGATCGTCGCTCGGCGACGCGGCGATATCGCCTTGAGAGGCGTCCTCGTGCGACGGGAGGTCGTTGCCCGGCAGAACCTGCGACAAAAAAGCGACAGGTTCTTCGTCGTTGGGAAGCGATAGGATGACGTCAGGAGGTGAGGAGACGACGTCGGACGGGGTCGAGATGACGTCAGCGGGGTCGTCACGGGAAAGGAATGGGACGGTAGGGTAATCGACGTTCAACTGGTGCTCTTTTAGCCGCGGCGCAATTAGAGGTGCCTCAGGATCTTTACGCAGCTGTGGTACTGCAGCCGCCATGGCCCCACCGTCACTGTCTTGAGATAGAATCGAAAGGATAAAATTTCGTTCACCTGTGGCTCCAAATTCGACAGGCGAGAACAAGTTGTCACTCTGAATCTCCCAATCTGCCGCTTATGTATTACTCCGTTGTTCCGTGCTGTTGCTTGCGTGAGGAAATAACTCAAGGCTTCGACGAGAAACTGTTATTTTGCGCAGTGTGTGTCCGTGCGGCATTCAGCGAAGGGGAGGATGGGGCGGAGGGGGCGGGAGCTGGGAAGGGGGGAAGAAGGGGAGTTGGCGGGGCGAACGTGGGTTTGAGCGGAAGGGGAAAGTGCTTTGCGCGCACTACCCCAAGCACCTGCGGTTTCTGGTCGTGCGCGGAATTGCGGAAGCGCGAGGTGTTGGGCGTTTCGCAGCGCGCGCGATCTCTGACGCGCTTTTTGGCGGGAGCGTGATGGTGACGAGGGTTTCGTCTCTGCGATGAATTTCGCGAAACCTTGTCGGCACGTTACCACCTAACTGCAACTTACTTGTACAGTACACTCCAATCCGAGTCGAGTTCTTTCACATTACAGTTTGGCCTTTTCAACTCCATGTCAGGCGCAATCTACCCCAGTCACCTAAAAAGCCACTTAGGGCGAGGCAGGGACTGCAGGTGCAGCCCAAGTTAGAGTCACTAAACGCAAATCAGCAGAACAACGCTCGTTTCTATCACTATCATTAATGCAGCGTGTTCCCGCCACACCCGCGACGATGCTCACCTCGCGTCGCCATACCCGCAACGGAGCTATTTGCAGGCAGAGCTTCGATAGTGCCTTGTCGAGCTTCTACATACCTCTATCTTTAACTCTTTCGCCCGAATCCGCCCTTCGCTTGCCGCCAATGGCGCGGACGGACGGCCAGCTTGCGCTGCTCCACGTGCAGCGCGCCAATCGCCCGCGCATTGCGCCGATCCTCCGCGTTGTCACTACTGGCGCGGCCCCGCTCCCCGCGGTGGCGCTCGCGGCGCAAGGGCAGCTCGCGAAAGGGCAGGTCGCGCAACCGCAACCTGCGCAAGCGCAGGCGCAACTAGTGGCGGGGCGCGCGGGGCAGGTAGCGGCGCCACTGCAGGCCAGTGTCCCCGGAAAAAGCGCCCCCGCTTCCGCCACTTCTGCCGCTCCGCCTGCGCCTGTTGTCCCCCCTCCCGCTGCTGCTGCCCCGCTCGCAGGCGCCGCCGCCCCGACCTCCGCCTCCTCCGCCGCAGCGGAAGCAGTACGCGAACAGAAGGCGGAGGCGGAAAAGCTTGCAGGAGGGGAATCCTCAAAAGTGGCAGCGGGCGCGAAGAGTGAGGCTGCGGGGCCGGGGGAAGGGGAGGCGGAAGGGGGAAAAGGGGGTGGGGCGGAAGGCGGAAGGGACGGAGGGTGGGGGGGGGCAGGGTGGTGCGGCAGGGGCTACTGGCGTGGGTGGTGATGCTGGGCCTGGGGTTCGTGATGGGGCAATGACTGGTGCTGCTGGTGCTGCTCGTGGTAGTGCTGCTGGTGATGCTGCGGGGGTGGCTGGAGCTGATACAGCCGCTGCTACAGTGCCAGCTACAGTTACAGCTACAGTCGCTGCTACAGTACCGACTACAGTGACTGCTACAGTGGCGGTAGACGCCGAACACCCCACGGTGGCCACGGTTGTCCTGGAGCCTCCTGGCCCCCTCCGCTTTGACTCAAGGTCGAGTCCAACCACTGCCACCCGTCCGCCGCCCCTCAAAACGCAAGCAAAACCCCAGGCTGCTGCAACAGCCGCAGCAGCAATAAGAGGAGGGCAGGCGAATGAGGGTGACAGGGTAGCGGAAGCTAAGGAGGAAGGGGAAGGCGGTGGAAGAGGGAGGGGAGAGGGAGGAGAGGGAGAGGCAGGAGGCGCAGAGGCAGGTGGGCGGAGGGGGGTGCGGTAGGCATGGCAGGAGCAATTGACAGAAGAGAGGGTGACGGGGAGAGGGGAGGAGGGGGGAGAGGAGGAGGGAGTGGGAAAGGGAGTGGGAAACATGGCGCTGGTAAGCTGCCACCCGCAAAGCAATCCAAGTCCTTCAAACTCTCGTCTTCTTCGAAAAAGCGGACTCTCAAGGTGACCTTTGACTCGTCCCAAAAGTCATCATCCCTCAAGAAGCCGTTTTCTTCAAAGTCCAAGCATGCCCCGCTGCCGCCCAAACACGCCGCCCCTGCCAAGCATGCCGCCCAGTCCAAGCAGTCTGCCGCCCAGAAGCGGACGGCGGGGGGGAAGCAGCCGCTGAGCCCCACTAGGCACTCTGCCAGGCTGGCGCTGATTTCGCCCGCCCGGAAAAAAGGGCGGTGGGGTGGGGAGGAGTGGGAGGGCGGTGATGGGGATGAAGGGGAGGAGGGAGATGGGGGGAGGAAGGAGGGGAGTAAGAAAGGGGCAGGGAAGGAGGAGGAAGGTGGAAGAAGGGGGGTGGATGGGGAGAGAGATGTGGAAGGGAAGGGGGACGATGGGCGGAAGGGGAAAGGTGTATGGAAGGGGAGAGTGGAGAGCGGTGCAGATGGTAAAGCAATGGGTCGCACAGACAGAGGAGGCAGCAAGGGAGTGCGAGAGGAAACTGGGAGCAGAGGTGGAGGGAAGGGGGAGAAGGAGAGGTGGGGGGGAAAGGGGTTGCGGGAGAGAGGAGGTCAGGGTGGTAAGGAAGGGATAGAGGAAAGTAGAGAGGAGAGGCAAGGGGAGAGGAAGGGGGAGAGGGAAGCTGGAGGTCGGTTCTCGAAGAAGCGGGGGAGAGGAGAGGCGGATGCTGATGCTGGTGCTGCTGGGAGTGGTGCTGCTGCTGGCGCTGTAGCTGATGCTGCTGATGGTGCTTCTCCTGCTGTGACAGGGTTGAGCGAACGGGATAGGCGAGAGGGACGAGAGGGGAGAGAAGGGAGAGAGGGGAGAGAGGGACGGGAAGGGCGAGAGGGGAGAGGAGGGAGAGATGGAGAAGAGAGAGCAGGGGCGGACGGTGCAGAGCAGGCAGAGCAGCAGCGGAGCAAGCGCGCTGCGGGGGACAGGAGGGGCGCAGAGCAGGGTGGTACTGGTGCGGGGGAAGAGGGAGGTGGTGGGCGGGCGGCGATTCACAAGGCTGTGGCTGGTGGGATAGTACAGAGGGACGGGCAGAGGGACGGGCAAAGATTTGGTGCCACAACCCCAACCAAAGCCAAGGCCAAGCCCACTGCAGCTGCTGCCACCCGCCCTGTGCCTCCACCTCGCTCTGCTGCCGTCCTTTCCCCCACTCGCCCCTCCTCTCGCCCTCCCCCTCGCGCTTCCCCCCGCGCCCCCCCACCTGCTCCCCCGCGCCCGGCTGTCCCGTCTGCAGCAGCAGACCGCGCAGCAGCAGCCATGGCTGCTGCGAGGAGCCTGGGAGGGGGGTTGGACTGGCCTCCTGATGACACTCCCGAGGCAGAGACTCGCGCTGACGCCCACGCCACTCCTCAAAACCCCGAGGATTCGGAGAGCTTTGAGGCTCTTCAGATGAGTGGGAAGGCTGTTGAGGCAGCAGAGGTGGTGGCGAAATCTGGAGCACAGGTGAGGGCGGCAGGGGCGGCAGGGGCGGCGGATGTGGGAGCAGTGGTGAAGACTGTATTAGCAGCTGAGGCGAGGGGTGGGGGGGATGGGCCGGGTGGTGGCATTGGGGAAGTGGGTGGTGATGGTGGGAAGGGTGCTGATTGGATCATGTTGGAGCAAGGGGAGGAGGAGGAAGAGGAGGAGGAGAGAGGGATGGGATGTGGGGTTGAGCGGGCGGAGCAGGGGGGGATAGCAGGGGAAGAGGAGGGAGAGGAGGAGAGTGTGGATGTTGAGGACGCTGATGATGATACTGATGAGGAGGAGGAGGGGGAAGATGAGGAGGAGGAGGAGGAGGACGAGTATGATGAGGAGGAGGGGGGGTTTGACATGGATGGGGGGGCGGTGGCAGCTCTGGCAGCAGCGGGGATAGACATCAGCATGCATGGCACGAGGAGCCTCTCACAGGCTGACGTGGCAGCTGCTTGCCACCAGTAAGTGTCTGGGTGTGTGTGTGTGTGTGTGTGTGTGCGTGCGTGCGTGCGTGCGTGCGCGCGCTCGTGTGTGTGTGTGTGTGTGTGTGTGTGTGTGTGTGTGTGTGTGTGTGTGTGTGTGTGTGTGTGTGCGTGTGTGTAAAGGTGCTCTAGTAGCAGCACTGGCAGCAGCGGGGATAAATGGGGGATTTTGTTCATGGTGATGGCATTTTGTTCATGGTGATGGCATTTTGTTCATGGTGATGGCATTTTGTTCATGGTGATGGCATTTTGTTCATGGTGATGGCACCCACCCCAACTTGCATCCTTTCTTCCCTCACATTCTCCCACCTCCACCCCCACCCCCCACCCCTCGCATCCGGTACGGAGCGGCCTTTATAACGGCTCTGCTGCACGAGGTGGCGCAGGAGGCACCTGACAATGTTTCCATGATACACAATCCCCCAACCCCCTCCCCCCCTTCCCCATCAGGTACGGAGCCGCCTTCATAATGGCTCTCCTCCACGAGGTGGCGCGTGAGGCGTCGTACCGCCGCCACCTGCACTGGCCATCCATTGCCGCCCGCCTCTCGGCCAATCACAGCTTCCCCATCGCCAGCCTGGCTCTCTGCCAGCTTCTCTGGCGCTGGCTCGCCTACGGCCGCCCCTTCTCACACCTCGACACCCTGCCCTCCGCGCCGCTGCTGGTGAGTTTCCTCCTCTGCCCTCCGCGCCGCTGCTGGTGAGTTTCCTCCTCTGCCCTCCGCGCCGCTGCTGGTGAGTTTCCTCCTCTGCCCTCCGCGCCGCAGCTGGTGAGTTTCCTCCTCTGCCCTCCTCGCCGCTGCTGGTGAGTTTCCTCCTCTGCCGTTGCACGCTCGTTGCGCTACCTCGCCTACGGCCGCCCCTGCTCGCACCTTGACAACCCCCTGCCTTCCGCACTGTCTTGCGGCTTGTGTGCTGCTCGCCTACGGCCGCCCCTTCTCCCACCTTCACACGCGCCCCTCCTTGCCGCTGCTGGTGCATTTAGAGGTCACTCAAAAGGACATTCGTTTCCTCACGCACCCCTTCTCACGGCTCGTATGCTGCCTCGCCAACAGCTGCCCCTTCTCGCACCCACCTCAATGCTCTGCCCTCCGCGCCCCTGCTGGTGAGCGTTCCTGGTTGTGATTCTGCCTTTCCAGACACCTGAATGACCCATGTCATATGTGCTCTTGCAACACAACACACCGCACCGCACGACACGCTGTGTGTGGGGGTGTGGCAGGAGGAGGAGAGGCGATTTAGAGGACGAGTTGGAATACCCTCTTGAACCATCGCCTTTTAGGATACCTGATTAGCACATGTCATGTGGGCATGGCACTCACTCTCTGTGTATGTTTGTGGCAGGAGGAGGAGGAGAGCCATTTGGAGGAGGAGCTAGAATACCCACTGGACACATTGCATTTGAGGCGATTGATTAACCCATGTCATGCGCTGGTGCAAAACAATACATGCGCATGGCACTCACTGTATGGGTGTGGGTGTGGCAGGAGGAGGAGGAGAGCGACCTAGAGGACGAGCTGGAGTAGCCGCTAGACACATCGCCTTTTGAAAACACTGAATAACCCATGTCGTATGTGCTCATGCATACATGGCATGTCACTCTGTGTTGCTGGCAGGAGGAGGAGGAGAGCGACGTAGAGGACGAGCTGGAGTACCCTCCCTCTGGACACATCGCCCTCTGAGACACCTGAATAACCCATATGTCTTCTGCACTCATGCGTCACAACACATGGCATGACACTCACTCTGTGTGCGTGTGTGTGTATGTGTGTATGTGTGTGGCAGGAGGAGGAGAAGAGCGACGTAGAGGACGAGCTGGAGTACCCTCCCTCTGGACACATCGCCCTCTGAGACACCTGAATAACCCATATGTCTTCTGCACTCATGCGTCACAACACATGGCATGGCACTCACTCTGTGTGCGTGTGTGTGTGTCTGTGTGTGTCTGTGTGTGTGTGTGTGTGTGTGTGTATGTGTGTGTGTGTGTGGGGGTGTGGCAGGAGGAGGAGGAGAGCGACGTAGAGGACGAGCTGGAGTATCCGCTGGACACATCGCCTCACCTTGTGTCTGCCGCTGCATCGTTTGTCAAGGTGCGTGCAAAGAGGCACACTCAGTTACCGAGATTTGTGAATCTATGAAACACAAGTATTACCAGACAGACACAGATCGTTTTAAATTGGTGCTGTGTATCCGGCTCTCTTTTGATGCGCCTCAGAAGATGTATCCGGCTGCTTCGTACCAGTGTCGAGCTGTTGACCTGTCAACCAGCGAGGACTGGCGAGAGGGGTGAGATCACTGAGAGGGCTTAGAGACACTGTAAGGGGGTGCAGTGCAGTGGTAGTGAGAGGCGGTGCAGTGGCAGTGAGAGGCGGTGCAGTGGCAGTGAGAGGCGGTGCAATGGGCATATTTGCATTGCAGTGAGCGAAGAAAAGGGAAAGCAGTCTGATGAGGTCAGAGTGGCTCTTTGAGTCCCTTTGAGTCCCGGCACTGCACTGCACTGCACTGCACTGCAACAGCAGAAACATGCCACCTGTCGTCCCTGCTCGTGTCTCTCTGCATTCTTCGTGGCTAGAGTTTTGAGACGTGTCACGGTTCCCCTGCACAGCAGAAACATGCAGCTTTCTGAGACGTGTCAGCAGCAGGCACTGCCTCATCCGTGCCTGTGAGTCTCCGTGCGTCTTGTACATTGCAGGCTGACTTGGCTGATACGGGCATTGCCTACGGGTGGTACCACTCGTGCCACCGTGAGAAGCACGGCGCATGGCAGCAGCGGCAGGCGGATGGAGGAGGGAAGAAGCACAAGGAGCAAGGCACGGCACAGGCCACGGAACAACAGCACGGCGAGCAGGTGCAGAGGCAGCAGCGCACACAAGGAGCTGATTCTCCTGATCCTTGGGACTTAGGCAACCCTGCTTCTGCTGCCCATGGCCCGCCCCATGACCTTTCCAATCTGCACGGTCCGGGGCACACCTCCCCACCGCTTCAGTTTCCATCCGCACCTTTGCTCCGTGTCGAGCCTACTGCTGCTGAGGCTGGCGGGGGGGAGATGGGGATAGAGGAGGGAAGGGGGGGGAGAGGGGGCGTGGAGAAGGGAGGAGAGGGGGGAAAGAAGCGGAAATGGGAGGGGACGAGAGAAGGGAGGGGGGATGGGGAGCATGCGGGAAGGAAGGGAGTGCGAGGGCGGGATGGGAAGATGGGGAAAGCGATGAGCGGTGGGGAGGATGGGGGGGATGTGGGGGATGGGGATGGGGGGGATGAAGGTGGGGAGGGTAAGGATGGGGAGGGCAAGGAGGGGGAGGAGGATGAGGACGAGGAGGAGAACAAGCCGGTGGCCCGTCTGGTGAGTCAACACGAGCCAGTGCCCAAGGCTACAGATGGTTCAAAGGGGGAGGATGGGATAGGGAAGGAGCAAGGCAAGGTGGCGGATGGAGCAGGAGGAGGAGCGGGGGCAAGTCGGAAGGCATTGGGGAAGGGCTCAGAAGAAACAGCCTTGGCTGCAGGGGCAGGGGGGGGAGGATGGGAGGGGGGAGCGAAGAAGGACGGAGCGAAAGCCGGTGCCGGAAAGCCGGCAGCAGCAAAGGCATCGACAGGCGGTGGGGGGGAGGGCGGGGCAGGCGAGAAGAAGACTCACGGCGGTGGCAGCAGCAGCAGCCACGCTCAGCCTTCCAAACCCAGCAAGGCAGGCGCCGCTGCTGCTGCTGCACCTGCTGCTGCTGCACCTGCTGCTGCTGCTGCTGATGCAAGCAGTGCGGGGGGTGGCAGTGGCGGCACAGAGGGAAAGGGGGCTGCGGGGGGAGGGGGAGGGGCAGCAGGGGGAGCAGCGGCAGCGGGGGGAGCGGATGGAGAGGCGAAGAAGAAGCGCAAGGCATGGACGCCAGATGAGGACAAGCTGCTGCTGAAGGCGGTGGAGGTGTATGGCGAGGGGCAGTGGGGGCGCGTGCTCAAGAGCGATTTGGGGATTGAACGCAATGCAGCCCAGCTATCTCAGGTGGGTGGGTGGGGTGGGTGGGGTGGGTGGGGTGTGTGTGGGTCTCTGTGTGTCTGTGTGTGCGTGCCTCAGCTTCTGCTGCTGCCACTGCTGCTGTCTGCTGAAGGCGGTGGAGGTGTATGGCGAGGGGCAGTGGGGGCGCGTGCTCAAGAGCGATTTAGGGATCGAGAGGAATGCGGCACAGCTGTCCCAGGTGTGTGGGTGGGGTGTGTGGGTCTCTTGCATCAACCTCTTCTCACTGTCTCCCTCCCTTTCACCCCTCTCTCTCTGCTCTCTTTCTCCCCACCTTGCCACCCTTATGCCAGCGCTGGTAATTTCAACGAGAAAAAGTTTGAAAAGGTGGCCTTGCCGATCACAGCTCCATTGCTCACTCTCTCTTTTCCAACCCCCTCTCTGCTCTTTCCCCCCTAATGGCCATCCTCACACCAGCGCTGGTACATTCTACGAAAGAAGTTTGAGAAGGAGGGAGTGCCGATCCCAATTCCATTGCTCACTGTCTCCCTCACCACCTCTCGCTGCTCTCTCGCCTCTTCCCTACCCCCACACCAGCGCTGGTACATTCTACGAAAGAAGTTTGAGAAGGAGGGAGTGCCGATCCCAGGCCGCAAGGCAAGGGAGGCTCGGGAAGCAGCAGCGAGAGAGGCAGCGGCGAAAGAAGCCGCTGCAAAAGAAGCAGCGGCTAAAGAGGCGGCTGCTAAGAAGGCTGCTGCTAGGGAGGCCGCTGCGAAAGAGGCAGCGGCTAAGGCTGAAGCTGCTGCGAGGGAAGCAGCAGCAAGGGAAGCGGCGAGAGAAGCAGTGAGGGAGGCGGCAAGGGAGGCAGCAGCTAGGGAAGCAGCAAGAGAAGCAGCAGCTAGAGCGGAGACTGAAGCGGCTGGTAAGGCAGGAGAGGGTGGTGTGGGAGGGGAGACTGGGGATGGGAGTGGGGCGGGGATGCAGCAGCAGCAACAGCAGCAGCAACAGCAGCAGCAACAGCAGCAACAGCAGCAGCAACAGCAGCCAGCGCAGCAGAGAGGAACAGCGAGTAGCAGTGGTGGTTTGGGGGAAGGTGGGGGTGTGGGGGAGAGGAAGGAGCATGAGATGGGATCCCTGCACATGCAGGGGCAGGGGCAGGGGCAAGGGCAGGGACAGGGACAGGGGCAGGGACAGGGACAGAAGCAGGGGCAGGGACAGGGACAGGGCCAGGGTCAAATAGACGTTTATTCCAATCCCATCAGGCACACACCCACGTACTCTGGTGGGTACCCTCACTCCTCACTCTCTCATGCTCCCCCGCACACTCTCACTCACACACACTCCCTCACACCCCACACCCACACCATGCACCCCTCCTCCATCCCCCCCAAGTACCCCCCTTCCACGTCAGCACCCAACCAATGGGCTCACAGAACCGGATCTGCTGCAGTGCCAGGTGGTACTTCGGGATTGGCCCGTGGGGTGGCTAGTGGGGCGGCAGGCAGGGGTGCAAGTGGGAGGGGAACAACTGGCAGGCTGACGTCAGCACAGGCATGGGCGCAGCATCAGCAGCAGCAGCACCAGCAGCACCTGCAGCAGCAGCAGCAGTTGCTGCAGCAGCAACAGCAGCAGCAGAGGCGCATGGCAACTGCTATGGGCCGAGGCAGGGGCTTTCCAGGAAATTCCCCGTACGCTTCCGCAGCTGCTGCCTCAGCCGCTGCCGCCGCTGCTAATGCTGCCAAAGCAGCGACAGCTGGTGGTTATTCACCCGGTGGGCTTCCGGGCGGCAGAGGTACTGTAGCAGTGGCGGGTGGGCGGGCGGGAGTGGGCGGCGGTATGATGGGCAGGATGGGTGTGGGGAGAGGAAGAGGGGTGGGTAATGCCAGTGCTGCTGCAGCAGCAGGGAGAGGATCAGCTTCAGGTTCGGCAGCAGGAGTAGGAGCAGCAGCAGGAGGTATGGGAGGAGTGGGAGGAGGAGGGATAGGAGGAGGTCCCAGGCCTGGCATTGGCACAGTCGGGCGTGCATCCATGCACCCACACTCCTCCCACCCCTCCCACACCTCCCACTCCCCCCACGCCTCACTCACTCACTCGCACACCCCTCTCGCCCCAGACCCACTGGTGCAGGCGGCAGCAGTGGCAGCAGGGGCGCGGATAGCCCCTCCCTCAGCTGCCGCCTCCCTCATGCAGGCCGCTGCGGGGAAGGCAGGTGCGCCTGTGGTGGTGCACCACATCACCCGCTCGCCCCATACCTACAGCTCAGGCTCGGCAGCAGGGTTTGCGCCTGGCGGTGGAGGTTCGGGAAGGTCTGGAGTGGGGGTGGTGGGAGGGGCAGGCCGGGGTGGGGGAGGGCAGAGTGGGAGAGGGAGAGGGGTTGCTGCTTCAGGTGCTGCTACAGCCGGTGCTGCTATGGTTGGTTCAGGGGGAGGGAGAGGAGGGGCAGGGGGAGTGGGGAGAGGGGCAGGTTCGTCTGTGCCAGGTGGCCAAACTTCATTGGCTGGGAGTAAACCTGTAGGGCAGAGTGCCTCCTCGGGAATTCCCTCAGCAGGCGCACAGGGGGGCGCAGGGGGGGGTGCAGGCGCACAGGGGGGCGCAGGGGGAGGTGCAGGCGCACAGGGGGGCGCAGGGGGAGGTGCAGGCGCACAGGGGGGCGCAGGGGGAGGTGCAGGCGCTCAGGGGGGCACACAGGGGAGCAGAAAGAGCAGCATGCAAGGTGCGTCCCAAGGCGGTGCGGCCCCAACAGCAGCAGCAGCACCACCACCACCTCCAACCGAGTCAGTAGTATTGACGCATTCGAAGGTGCCAGATGCAGCAGTGCTGTCGAGTACAGTGGCTACTGCTGGTGCTGCTGCTGATAGTCCTCGTGATGTTGCTCCTGCTCCCGCACCCAATGCACCAGCTCCCAGTGTAAGACAAGGTACGCCGCCCAGCCCAATTTCACCACAGCCAGCATTGCCTAAGGCTAAGCCTAATGCACCTGCTGCCACCGCTGCTGCCACTGCTGCTGCCACTCTTTCTACCACCGCTGCTGCCACCGCTGGTGCCACTGCTGCTGCCACACCCGCTCCAACCTCCATCCCCTCTGCGCCTGTGCCAACACCAGCAGCACCACCAGCAGTGCCAGCACATGTGCCAGCAGCACCACCACCTGTTTCAACAGCGCCAGCAGCAGCAGCAGCAGCAGCAGCAGCAGCAGCAGCCCCAGCAGCAGCTGCTGCTGCACCTCCCGCTATAGACTCGCCCAAACCGCCTTGACATGCTGCATCCTCTACACGACCCAGCGCGCCAACCATTATTGGTTATACACGGTACAGTTCATTCTGGAAAGGAGAACCCTATTTTACCAAATACGTACATGGCATGGTTATAGTGGGCCGCACACAAGTGGCCACCACCAATCCAACCATAGCTCCTGTACTCCAGGAAGTGAACGTTGCTCTTCTGGAAACAGAATTACTCACACCAGAGTGGTCTCAGTTGTCCAAGGTTGCTTTGCTTCCAGGCATGTGAAGGGAATCGTCCCCCTTTTGACCCCAACCACTAAAAACATGTGTGTGCCTCTGTGCACAAGCACAGCAAACACACCAGTAGACGTGTTGATCTTGTAGATGAACATTGCAACGCCCTTGATTATTGATACCGTAAGTCCCACTAGTCAATTGCACGTTCCCCTCTGTTGTTCTAGGTCTTGAGGCTCCCCTCCCCTTTTCTAACGCGCTGTCCTCACTATCTGTGGGCGGATGGTATGTCGACGCGAACAGACAGAACAGGGTTGTCTTATCTCCTCTCCTGCCTGCCTTGATTTATCAGTTGTTATCTTTTGAGGCACCTCAAAGCTATCCATCTCCTCACAACAAGCAAACCCATGACATGCGTAACAGGAAAGTTTCTCCAAACAGAACAAACAAGGCAGACAGTTGTCTGATTATGAAAGCAGCCACTGGCTTTCAAATTAGCACTAAAGCAGCTGCTGTCTGTGTGTCTGCGGAAAATTAACAAAGGTATAAAGAAAAGGGATCCACGTTAGTGGAACGGCCAATTTCAGACAAAACCCAAGAGTCGTCTCTTGAAAGTTGCAATCACTGCACATGCCACCTGCCCAACCCTCAATAAGGCATGGAGCAGCAGCTGCTATCAGAGAGAAGAGGGTGCTGCAAGCAACGCCCCATGTGTCTCATTCCCTCCTAACTGCGACGCGACACAAAGCAGCTGTCATGTGCTCCCCACTCCAGCGCCATAACAGCAGTTGATTTGATCTAATCCATTCCATTGCCATCCATCCTGATGAGATGAGATGATGATACCACGTTACACGCATTGCATCGCGATACCTGCCAGAGCACTAGCTGCAGCACCTGCCATCAATCCACCCCCTCCTCCCTTTTTCTACAATCAATGCAGCTGCTCTATTCCTCCTGAACCCGCTTTATAGAAATTAGGAGCAGCTGCTGCCTCCACTTTTCTCCCCCGAACACCTGTTTTTTTCTAGGAATGAATCAGCTGCTGTCATCCCTCCCCTCCCTTGTCCTTAGTTAGCAGATGCTGCCTGCACATTGGCGGAAGGAAAACAGCAGCCATTGTTGCATGTCATCCACCTCCACCATCCTTCTGAACGTGTCTAAAAGCAAAGGAGTTGCTGTCTCTCTCCTTAACCAACCCCCCCGTCACTTCCACACCCCTCTCCCCCTTTCCCCCCACCTCCCCCCTCCCCTCTCTTCCCCGTTCATCGCGTTTAGAAGTAGAGCTGCTTGCTGGCGGGGGGCGTGGCGGAAGAACGCGCCCACCTCCTGCCACTTGTTCAGCATCAGCACCGCTCCTGTCTGTCCCCCTCTCCCCCCATCTTCCAACACTCCCCTCCCCCCCCCCCCCCCCCCCTCTTCCCCCTCCCCTTTTGATCATGTTTAGAAGTAGAGCAGCTGTTGGCGGGGCGCGTGGCGGAAGAACGCGCCGACCTCCTGCCGCTTGTTCAGCATCAGCAGCGCCTGGCACAGCCCGCGCTTCATCCACCGGTTCACGCGCGGAAGGTCCGCCGCGCCCCCGCCCGCCGCGTCAATCCGCAGCGCCGCGAGAAACGCGTCCACGGAACCGGACTCAACCGTGGCCTCCAAAAACCCCCACGCCCACGCCATGTACAGGCGCGGGCTTGCGCCCTCCCCGCGCATGCTCAGCGCCGCCGCCCACACCGCGTCCGCCATGGGTTGCGCCACCAGTTGCGGGCGTTGGCGCACGTATGCGGCCATTTTCAGCAGCGCGCTCGCGACGAGGTCCGGTTGCGTGGGGACGAGCAGGTGCGCGGGGATGAGTGCGCGCACGGCGTCCCCGTATTCGCCCAGCGCGCGCCACTGCGAGGGGGTGAGCAGCGCGCGCGTGCGCTGGATGCGCGCCGCTGCCGCCGCCGCCGCGCCACACACGTGCCGGTGTTTCCGCCACGCCTGCATCTGGCACATGCGGCAGCAGTAATACACCAGCCTGGGGTAGGAAGGTGGAAGGAAGAGGGCGAGAAGGGGGCCGGGGGAAGGGGGAAGGAGGACGGTGGGGGGGAGGAGAGGGGAAGGGGGGTGAAGCGGAGGAGGAAAGGGGGGAGTGAGGGATGGGGAGTGGCGGGCGGTAAGAACTTAAGAGGAAAACAGGTACGGCTTCAAATACTTACACCTGTTGCTAGTGCCTGCAGCAGCTTAGCATGCTCTTAGTACCTCCATCAGCCTACCACGCCCCTTTTACAGACCCGTGCCCTACTGGACCACGCCTTACCCCGGCTGACCTGCAGAAGCCCTATTGGACCGCTTTCCATCCCTGGAACTAGTGCGCTGGACCACCACCCATCCCCCGCTGACCACAGCAGCCCAAAACGCCTTTACTCTCTGCAAAAGTCTACAACGCCTCTGGACCCTATTGTACCGCTTCCTACCACCTCTGACCTGCAGCTGCCGCATTTGGAGGTGGCGGCGCGGCGCACGCAGAAGTAGCACGCGTTGTCGGGAATTTCGAACGCAAACAGCCCAGGCCCGGGATCCCCCACCTCTCCGCCCGCCGCGCCCACTTCCGCGCCCGCTCCGGCTGCCCCCGCGCCCGCGCCCGCTGCGCCGGCAGCAGTGGCAGCAGTGGGAGGAGCGGCGGCGGATATGGGTACGAGAGCGAAGTTTCGTTGGATGAGAAAGTTGATGGTGAGCGAACCCGCCGCGCCGATGAGCAGCGCCGCTAGCACGGAGAAGTCGATGGTAACACTGACTCGCGGCAACAACGAGCCGACATACTCGCGTGAGAGGTAGCAGCCAGCGATTAAGATGGCGACTACGAGACACGCTAGCGCGCACGCCGCGTGCCGGACTCTAACGTTTCCCAGCATCGTCTATTAACGCGAATCACGGAGCTTGTAACGAGGAACTTTGCAACAAGGAACGTGGGGGACGAGGAACCCTTGGATCGACTTCGAAGCTCGGTCAACGACTGTGTGTCGGATTTAGGTCACAAGCTGCAACACGACCTAACCCTAATACGCCACGGCTCTACCATGTCTAAGCCTTGACGACGCGATTTAGGATATCAACACTGAATAGTACGCTACCTCCGCAAGCTCTGGAACCTAGACGGAACTGGCGGTCAGCTTGTAAACAGATACGCAGGAAAGCGACACGGATTCATCTGCCACGTCTGGTCAACTGGAACCCTCACAGCTTTATGCCTCAGGCAGTGCGAGTGAACGAGCAGCGAGAACCATTCAACCAACCCGTGCGACGGAAAACCAGCATCAAGGCTTTGGGAAACTCGAGCAGGCTTGGCTGGCTTTCCGCGAGGAGGTGGGGGAACAGGTGGTGGTTGGGTGTGGATGAGGCTGGCTCGGTCTGGGTTTGGCTGGTTCAGGCCTGGGTTTACTGCTTCGGGCTGGTTTTGGCTAGCCCGGTGAGGAAGACCCTGGGTTGGTTCGGGGTTCGCTCAATCGGCTCGCGTCTGTGACGGAGACAGTGGCAAACAGACACGATGGCTGGGCATTTACGTTTTTCCTTCGGGCAGATTTGCTGTCAGTGGTGGTGGTGATGCTGACGAGAAGAAGTTGCGGAGGCTGAGTCCGAGCCAATCAAATCAAATTACCACTAACTCGTGCACCAACAACTTTTGAATTGTACCGGCTCAGTCACATCGATATGGGCTCCAGACGAAGTCAAACATCGTGGAAATGGATGGGCAGGAAACAGAAACAATTCACACTGTGGGACCGCCTGCAGCGCGCGCGGTTGAGCTGATATACGAGATGGTTCGCTACAACCTACAAGCTTTCAACAACAAAAAGAAGCTGGAGTGTTCCTTTTTCACGTCTTCTGAATAATCACAACCACAAAATAATGAACATTGGAACTAATATAGATCAGTATCCGGTTCAAACGTTTTGAGCTCAGCTTATTGTGCATTTATCAGTCCCCACAGCACCTTCGTGATCTCTCTCAACATGCCGCACCAAAGCCACAGAGTCGGGAAAACGTTTCCCACATCTTGGGCATTGCTCAGGCCCTTGGCCACCACCACCTGCTCGACCTGCACCGCTTCTGCTTCCCGCTGCCCCTGAACTACCAGGCCCAGCATTACTGCTGAATTGCACGCTGACACCTGTCCCCCCATGCGCATGTACAGTCTCGACATGGTTAATAAGTGCTACAGCATCCCCAAACCTCGCTCCACACTGAGGGCAAATCTCCGGCTCCCCACCACCATTCCCTCCCCCAGCCCTGGCTGCCCCTGCACCTGGTTGCTGTGGCTCTGCTGATCCCACTCTGCCTTGTGAGCCTGCAGCTGACACCGCTTGACCTGCGCCCTGTTTCTGACGCCTTGCCGCTGTCCCTCGCACCGTGTTGAGATCGTTAGTCGCAGCACCAACACCAATGCCACTGCTGCCTTTGTTGCTGCTGCTGCTAGTACTAGCCTTGTTGCTAGATGTCGACGCCGTGCTCCCAGTGCTGGTATTTTTACTAGCTGATTTGCCCCCACCACTGCCACCACTGCCACTGCTGCTGCCAGCACCAGCTGCACTACCAGCTGGCGCCTTGCACGCCTGCCATCAGCTTCTCACTGTACGCCCCACCAGCTGTCCAGAACGAAACGGGCTGCGAGTTCTTTTGGCTGCCCGAGCACGCGTGGTCGGCGCCGAAGCGGTGGCGCAGGCAGGTTTGGCGGGTGCAGTCGCGGCAGGTGATGGTATTGGCGGGCGAGAGCACCTCCTTGCAGCCCTGTGCTGCACACCGGCGCTTGTTGGCCACTCTGCGCGTGGGAAGAAAGGGGGAAGTGAGGAGGTGAGGTGAGAGGATCGAAAGGGTGAGGTGTGACGGTGTCGGCTGGTGAGAGCACCTCCTTGCAGCCCTGTGCAGCACACCTGCGCTTGTTTGCCACTCTGTAGCGGGGCAGAAAGGAAGATGATGAGATGAGGTGAGAGAAGAGGAAGGGTACTCAACGACGGAGTTGGGAGGAAACAGAGCTTGCTTGCATCCTGCAGAGAGGAAACCGACAATGTCTGTTGGCACCCTGCAGAGAGGAAAGGGGACGGTGTTTGTGGGGCGAGGGAGAGAATACGACGTTGTGAGGAAACAGCGCTTGCTTGCAGCCATGTGCCTCACGCCTTAGCTTGTTGGCTACCCTGTGAGGAGGTGGGAGAAAGGGGGAATGTGGAAGTGGGGGAAATAGTTGAGGGCTGTAGCTCAGAGCAAGGGTATCGGACACAGCATGGCAGTTGTGCAGAGCAAGGCTGTTGCTCAAAGCAAGGCTGTAGCTCAAAGGAAGGCTGTTGCTCAAAGCAAGGCTGTAGCTCAAAGGAAGGCTGTAGCTCAAAGCAAGGCTGTAGCTCAAAGCAAGGCTGTAGCTCAAAGCAAGGCTGTAGCTCAAAGCAAGGCTGTAGCTCAAAGCAAGGCTGTAGCTCAAAGCAAGGCTGTTGTTAGTACGACTGTAGTAGCTCATAACAAGGTTGTAGCCCGCATCAAGCTCACTGCAAGACTGTACTCAGAGCAAGGCTGTACCTTGGCCAAGGCTCAATAAACAATCACCCTCGTTTTTGGGTCCAGCTTATGCACCTGCATATTGCTGCCGACGTATAAATCTGGATTTCACCCTATCGTACCTTTGCAGGTTGCTGGGATCGCATCCAGACCGTTCATGTCGCGCCCACGTCACATTCGGGTCCTCGTCGCCCACCAGTCGCACGGCCTTGGCGCACAGCGGGCACAGCAGCACCACAGCGTCGCCGACTGTCGCACGCGGGCACTCGTGCGACGCCGGCATGCGATGCGACAGACAGAAGACCATGCGACACTTGTCGCAGGTGAAGGGAAGGAAGTCGATCTGCTGGCATGACGTCACCGAGCAGTGCTTCCCCAGGTCGGGAAAGGCGGGTGTCCCCATAGTCGCCGTACAAACAGGCTCGATCTAATCTATAATATATAAATAATCTCGTATCTACAGTAAGTCTGCGAGACTTATCTGCGGTAGTAGCTGAGCTTGATCCTCCCTAATCCGGCCAAGGCAGAGCACTCATGTAACAATATGCATCACCATGGATGCTGTTTTAGAAGCAATTAGCATCGACGGTCATTTTTCTGCAGCGAAACTGAAAGGCCTGACGGTCGGTGCTGAGGCTATGTCTGCTGATGGCGTCTACGCATAAGTCGGCGAATCGGACGGTCAAATCCCAATGGATGCTTGAAAATACGTCGTGGGAAACTAAGTTAGACGATCGCGATGAGACAGGCAAACAGCCAGCCTCGGTGACGGTCGGCTGTCGTGGGCAGTGGTACTACTGGAGTCTAGAAAGGAGATAATAGTGGTCAGCAACGGGGATGTCATCTCATATGCAATGAGGGGACTGAGGGGACATCGCGCGACGGCGTCGGGCAGGAGAAGAACACCAGACCCAGTCAATGGGACGTGACTGTACGCGCCAATGAGCACCTTGATGAGCAAGAGGTGAGAGAGGTGAGTGATGATGAGCAAGAGGTGAGAGAGGTGAGTGATGATGAGCAAGAGGTGAGAGAGGTGAGTGATGATGAGCAAGAGGTGAGAGAGGTGAGTGATGATGAGCAAGAGGTGAGAGAGGTGAGTGATGATGAGCAAGAGGTGAGAGAGGTGAGTGATGATGAGCAAGAGGAGAGAGAGGTGAGTGATGATGAGCAAGAGGAGAGAGAGGTGAGTGATGATGAGCAAGAGGTGAGAGAGGTGAGTGATGATGAGCAAGAGGAGAGAGAGGTGAGTGATGATGAGCAAGAGGTGAGAGAGGTGAGTGATGATGAGCAAGAGGTGAGAGAGGTGAGTGATGATGAGCAAGAGGAGAGAGAGGTGAGTGATGATGAGCAAGAGGTGAGAGAGGTGAGTGATGATGAGCAAGAGGTGAGAGAGGTGAGTGATGATGAGCAAGAGGAGAGAGAGGTGAGTGATGATGAGCAAGAGGAGAGAGAGGTGAGTGATGATGAGCAAGAGGTGAGAGAGGTGAGTGATGATGAGCAAGAGGAGAGAGAGGTGAGTGATGATGAGCAAGAGGAGAGAGAGGTGAGTGATGATGAGCAAGAGGAGAGAGAGGTGAGTGATGATGAGCAAGAGGTGAGAGAGGTGAGTGATGATGAGCAAGAGGAGAGAGAGGTGAGTGATGATGAGCAAGAGGTGAGAGAGGTGAGTGATGATGAGCAAGAGGTGAGAGAGGTGAGTGATGATGAGCAAGAGGAGAGAGAGGTGAGTGATGATGAGCAAGAGGAGAGAGAGGTGAGTGATGATGAGCAAGAGGTTAGAGAGGTGAGTGATGATGAGCAAGAGGAGAGAGAGGTGAGTGATGATGAGCAAGAGGTGAGAGAGGTGAGTGATGATGAGCAAGAGGTGAGAGAGGTGAGTGATGATGAGCAAGAGGAGAGAGAGGTGAGTGATGATGAGCAAGAGGAGAGAGAGGTGAGTGATGATGAGCAAGAGGTGAGAGAGGTGAGTGATGATGAGCAAGAGGTGAGAGAGGTGAGTGATGATGAGCAAGAGGTGAGAGAGGTGAGTGATGATGAGCAAGAGGAGAGAGAGGTGAGTGATGATGAGCAAGAGGAGAGAGAGGTGAGTGATGATGAGCAAGAGGTGAGAGAGGTGAGTGATGATGAGCAAGAGGTGAGAGAGGTGAGTGATGATGAGCAAGAGGAGAGAGAGGTGAGTGATGATGAGCAAGAGGTGAGAGAGGTGAGTGATGATGAGCAAGAGGTGAGAGAGGTGAGTGATGATGAGCAAGAGGAGAGAGAGGTGAGTGATGATGAGCAAGAGGAGAGAGAGGTGAGTGATGATGAGCAAGAGGTGAGAGAGGTGAGTGATGATGAGCAAGAGGTGAGAGAGGTGAGTGATGATGAGCAAGAGGTGAGAGAGGTGAGTGATGATGAGCAAGAGGTGAGAGAGGTGAGTGATGATGAGCAAGAGGTGAGAGCGGTGAGTGATGATGAGCAAGAGGTGAGAGCGGTGAGTGATGATGAGCAAGAGGTGAGAGCGGTGAGTGATGATGAGCAAGAGGTGAGAGAGGTGAGTGATGATGAGCAAGAGGTGAGAGAGGTGAGTGATGATGAGCAAGAGGTGAGAGAGGTGAGTGATGATGAGCAAGAGGTGAGAGAGGTGAGTGATGATGAGCAAGAGGTGAGAGCGGTGAGTGATGATGAGCAAGAGGTGAGAGAGGTGAGTGATGATGAGCAAGAGGTGAGAGCGGTGAGTGATGATGAGCAAGAGGTGAGAGCGGTGAGTGATGATGAGCAGGAGGTGAGAGAGGTGAGTGGTGATGAGCAAGAGGTGAGAGAGGTGAGTGATGATGAGCAAGAGGTGAGAGAGGTGAGTGATGATGAGCAAGAGGTGAGAGCGGTGAGTGATGATGAGCAAGAGGTGAGAGCGGTGAGTGATGATGAGCAAGAGGTGAGAGAGGTGAGTGATGATGAGCAAGAGGTGAGAGAGGTGAGTGGTGATGAGCAAGAGGTGAGAGAGGTGAGTGATGATGAGCAAGAGGTGAGAGAGGTGAGTGATGATGAGCAAGAGGTGAGAGAGGTGAGTGATGATGAGCAAGAGGTGAGAGCGGTGAGTGATGATGAGCAAGAGGTGAGAGCGGTGAGTGATGATGAGCAAGAGGTGAGAGAGGTGAGTGATGATGAGCAAGAGGTGAGAGAGGTGAGTGATGATGAGCAAGACGTGAGAGCGGTGAGTGATGATGAGCAAGAGGTGAGAGCGGTGAGTGATGATGAGCAAGAGGTGAGAGAGGTGAGTGATGATGAGCAAGAGGTGAGAGAGGTGAGTGATGATGAGCAAGAGGTGAGAGAGGTGAGCGATGATGAGCAAGAGGTGAGAGAGGTGAGCGATGATGAGCAAGAGGTGAGAGAGGTGAGCGATGATGAGCAAGAGGTGAGAGAGGTGAGCGATGATGAGCAAGAGGTGAGAGAGGTGAGCGATGATGAGCAAGAGGTGAGAGAGGTGAGCGATGATGAGCAAGAGGTGAGAGAGGTGAGCGATGATGAGCAAGAGGTGAGAGAGGTGAGCGATGATGAGCAAGAGGTGAGAGAGGTGAGCGATGATGAGCAAGAGGTGAGAGAGGTGAGCGATGATGAGCAAGAGGTGAGACGCCGTGATGGTGTGACGTCCATAGACGGAAGGGGGGAACGGGACGGCGTGATGGGGGAGGGTCGGTCGGGGGGTGAGGGAGGGGCAGGGGTACTTGGTACAAGGGCGGGCAGGCAGGCAGGCAGGCCGGCAGGAAGGGTGGCAGACAGGCAGGCTGGGTGGCAAGCTAAAGGAGAAGAGGTGGGAAATGAACTAGTGGTGGCGTTGAAATGAAGGGGGCAATACGAAGGCAAGAAATAACAGGACAGGAAAGGTGAGGAGAGGAGAGGTGAGGAGCGGAGAGGAGACGAGAGGAGAGGCGAGGAGCAGTACAGTTTGTCGGATGGGTTGTCCTTGCGCGTGAAGAGCAGTTGAGGGGGGAGGGATACGGGTGCAAGACGGGTTGAATCAGCAAAAGAAAAGGACGCGAGGATCTGAGAAAAGAGGTGAGGAAGGGGGGCAAGAGGCAGTACAGTTTGTCGGGTGGGTTGTCCTTGCGTGTGAAGAGCAGAGGTGCCAATGGGGAGAAGGGCGAGGTTGCTGTAGAGTGGATGCAGAGAGGGAGGGGTGCAGAGAGGGAGGGGTGCAGCGGTGCAGCGGTGCAGAGGTGCAGAGATGCAGAGAGACAATGGGAGGGAACCCAGGGATGGAGCATAGGGCAGAGTGGGAAGGGAAGAGAAGAGGTTTTGAATTGGTGGGAAGGGAAGCCCTGTTCTGATTGCAGTGGTGGCATGTGAGGAGCAACACAACAGGCATGCCACCGGCAAAGGGCCGGGAAGGGGCAGGGGGAAGGGCGAAGGGCGAAGGGCAGGGAAGGGAAAGAGATTTTTTGTACAAGGGTGGTGCTGTGCTGGTATGGGAGTGGTGAAGAACATGGCATGCTAGACAAGAACAAGACGCATGAGGCGACGCACCTGTGGGAGCGGGTGAGGAGCGGAGGCGACTTTTGAGTCGACTCCAAAGTCATACCAGACCAGACCAGACCAGATGCATGGGGGAACGAACGCACCGGTGGTGGGAGCAGGTGAGGAGTCTACTTTTGAAGTGCCTCAAAAGGCGACTTTTGAGTCGACTCGAATGCCATACCAGACCAGACCAGATGCATGGGGGGACGCACCGGTGGGAGCAGGTGAGGAGTAGAAGTGGGAGTGAGAGTGGGAGGAGGAGGAGGAGGCATGGTGCCGTGCTGCTGTGTGTGGGGCGTGCAGCGATGGCACCCACTGGAAGTCCGCCAGGGCTGGGAGATGGGGGAACGGCGGGGGAGAGGGGAAGGAGGGGGCATCGTTGAACAAAGGGGAAGGGGAGGAGGAGGCTTGGTGCTGCTGTGTGTGGGTGTGGGGCGTGCAGCGATGGCACCCACTGGAAGTCCGCCAGGGCTGGGGGGACGGGGGAAGGGGGGAGAGAGGGTGGTGAATGGGGGGAACGGGAGGGGAAGTGGGGGAAGGAGGGTGGGAATGCGCAGGGCGTGCAGCGATGGCATCCACTGGAAGTCCGCCAGGGCTGGGGGGACGGGGGAATGGGGGGGTGGGAAAGGGGGGAAGGGGGAAATGGGGGGAAAGGGTTGGTTGGAGTGTTGAAAGTGGAAAACGAGGAGCAGGGGAGCATGGGGGTGGGGGGAGTGGGTACGGAGAAAGGAAATATGGACAGGAAAGGGTAAAGCAAGAAATGGGGGGTAAGCGACGGAGGAAATCAGGAGAAGGTGAAATAAGGAAGCGGGGGAGGGAGGACAAGGGAGGAGGGGAAGAGGTGGGTGGAGGGGGGGAGTGAGGACGGGAGGCAGAGGAGAAAAGAGAGAGGAGGGCGGGAGAGACACCCTTATCAATGAACGATTCAATTAATAAATCCGAGTGACGAGGTTGAGAGGAGGTTGAGAGGAGGTTGAGAGGAGGTTGAGAGGAGGTTGAGAGGAGGTTGAGAGGAGGTTGAAAGGAGGTTGAGAGGAGGTTGAGAGGAGGTCTCGCGTGAAAGTCTACAATAAAACAATCAAAGGACAAATAATAATGATATGGCATAAGCTTGCATCAATCTCAACTTCATGAGTCCGTGTATTGGAGGAATCCCCATGCCCATCAAGCAGCCATGCGCTACTCTGTCTCGACAGTCTTTGGTCGGCGAGGCTTGTACACCATTGACAAAACAACTGTTGGAAATAGAAACATAAGGAACTATATATGCTGTTAGATTTTTACTGTAGTCTTCTTTATAAGACTCCAGGTCCTACAATAATTGTACAATTATTGTAGGGACTGCATTATTGGAGTCTAGAGGTCTGAGGGTAGAATTATTGGTACTCCTTTATTGGAGTTACCATTATTGGTGGTACAATTATTGGTGTGGATGGATGGACTGTGGGCAGGGTAGCTGCATAGATAAATACCCTGCTGTATGGAGGCATAATCAATTCAATCCATTGTCCTGAATCCTTTAAGTTGCAAGGTTTCTCTTGCTATTCTATCATACAATCAAGGCTTCCGCTACGACGGCACTATGCCTTTCGCACAGCAAGTGACAACATTTGGATTGAAGGCATGGCGCGGTTCGACGATGAAGTCGATGATGGATATGAGGCGTTTGAAGAAGTCATCATGGATCAACATGAGCACCTGGAGAACATGACTGCAAGGGCACCACCGACACTCCAAGCGTCATTAAGAGCAAAGTTCAACATGCCAGCCCAAGTTCGAGATTTCAACAACCCATCCATCCGTGAACAGTCACATGCAAGCACTCCGCGTACTAACCAAACCCATGCTTCAAATATGGATGCAGAGATTGAAGGTGAAGGAGAGGGAAGCTTACCCCAAGGAGGAGAGTCATCCCAAGGGAGGGATGCATCCTTCCAAGGAGAGGGGAGCTCCCACCCCGAACCTCAATCAACCATGCAAAGGGAAGGAACGGGGAGGGATGATGCGTACGGGAGTGGAACGAATGTGATGGAGCATGGTGATGAGATCGGCGTGGGAAGAAACATGAGAGGGCAGATTGGTGAAGGGAGTGGTCGAAGCAGTCATGTGGGCATGGAATGTGTGGGATTCGAATCCTACATTATTGGTGCTCCCCCACTACGACGTCTTGCGACTAACTCCTATCCCATTGGAGTTCCCGTTATGGGCAGATCTCACCTTTTTGGCAACAACGTCGTACCTCCTCGTGTGCCACGGTCTCAAATGGAAGCTGTACCTGCAGGAAGCATGGGGCACGGGATGCAGTCAAGTGGTGTTATGCGACGTGATCAAGTGGAAGTGGTGGAACGTGAAGGCACACAACGCACGGTACAACTACCTCGACCATCTAACGTGCCTACGCTCTTCGACCCGTCTCCAAGCGAGTACACGGAAGAAGACAAGGACAGGTTGTTACGCAAGATGGTGGGAGCAGCGGTGGACAAAGCGTTCACAACAACTCCATTCGACGGCACCAACTTTCGAGTGGGCTCTTCGGTTTCGCATGAACGCGCGCGTGACAAACCTGTGGGAGTATTTCGTGACGCTACAATACCCAGTTACAATGGTGAATGGAGAAATGCGAGATGCAATCGAACGGCTGGAAGTTCTACAAGCAGATTACTCACAACGTGCTACGCTGGCTTTTTGGGTGCTTCTGCATAGCGTGAGCGCAACGATTCAGCTGCAACTTGACGTGTTTCAAGAGTCATACAGTCCGGCATTCGAAGCATGGGAGTATCTGATGGAGACTTACCAGGCGAAGGATTCGGTGGCAAAGGCGTCTCTCCAGAGGCAATTGGACAACCTGAAAATGGGGAGCCAAGAAAGAGTGGAGGAATACATCAACCGAGCAACTGCAATTCGAGACAAACTGGCAATGGCGGGAAAGATGGTGGATGAAGATTCATTCACCTTAAATATTACCGGGCTGCCACCGCATTGGGAGGAGCTGAGGCATTCGGCAATGCTACACGACATCTCCGACAGCTACACACTACAGCGAATGATGATTCAGGAACAATGCTACCAAGACCTCATAAGCAAGACCAACCGTGACAAGCGTCCTCCCCGCATGGCTGGCCAAGCACGTGGAGATAATTCACCAGCAAAGGAGAGGACCGAGACAAAGGGCAACCAGAATGCGGTGAAATCAACGGGAGGGCAGCACGCAACGGTTGGGGTGAAACTCAATGGCAACGAAGGAAGGGGAGGGCGCTCCAACCTTGTGTGTTGGTACTGCAAAGAATCTGGCCACCCGTTTTATAAGTGTCCTAAGGCGCCCCCGGGTTGGTCACCACCAGGGTGGGAACCACAAAACAGAGGGAGGACAAATCAGCGCACCTGGAGTAGCCGTTCGTCCTCACCTCGAAGGAGTGAAAGCCCTAAACGTGACAACCAAGCGTCAAAACAGCAAGGGGCAGCCGGGGGAGACAACAAACGCCACGTTACATACGTTGCAACGGTTAGGTCGTCACAAGCAACGTTACCGTCAGCCGGAGGGTCGATGTGGTTGCTGGACAGCGGATGCAGCCAACACATGACTTCAGAAAAGGATTGGTTTGAGGGTCTAAAGGAGCTGAACGAACCTGTTTACGTGGAGCTTGCTGACGGGAACCACCTGTTGAGCTCGATTCGAGCAACGGCACCCGATGGAACAACAGTGCGTTACACGGACGTGCTCTACGTACCCGGCTTGAAGTCCAACCTGCTCTCTTATTGCCAGCTGCACAAGAAGAGAGCTCGGATTCGCACACATGAGGATGGGCACACGGAGATCATCATGGCGGATGGAGATGAGCATGTACTCATTGGAGTGGGAATGGTCATGCATGGGGTGCTGATGGTGCAATATGAGCCTGCACTTACATCTGCCCATGTATCTGGTCATGATCATCCGAATGAAGCATCGAATGAGTCTGGTCTTGGAGGGCTGAATGTGCAGTCTGCTCATGCATCCATCACATACCGCATGGCCCACAAGCGCTTGGGTCACCCTAAACCCTATTTTCTCGGCATGGCATCGCGAGATGAAGACCAAGTTGCCCACGATGCCGCTGGCTGCCTTGCGCACGGACAACGGGGGGGAGTATACCGCAAATGCTTTCACGGATTACCTGAGCTCTCACGGCATCAATCACCAAACGTCCTTACCACACATGCCGCAGCGGAATGGAGTCGCCGAACGGGTTAACCGCGCACTCATGGACCGAGTGCGCGCAATGACTACTGGGGCCAGACTTTCCTCTAAGTTCTGGCCTTATGCGCTGGAATATGCAGCATGGCTACACAACCGCATCAGCTGCAGCAGCAACCCATCGGCACACTCACCGTACTTCACGATGACGGGAAAGGCGGCAGATGTCTCAATGGCAAGGACCTTTGGCTGCCTGTGCTACTATCTCCCTCCCCAAGGCAGCTTCGGGAAATTTGAGCAGAGAGGTCGGGCAGGCATGTTTCTCGGCCTCTCTAACTCACGAAAGGCATGGATCGTGCGGGACTTGGCAAGCGACGTTGACACGGACACACGCTCAGCTCGCTTCTTTGATGACCTCATGTTACCGGACGCTGAATCGGTACTCGAACGCCAATGCTACTTGGAAGAAGTCTCACCGCACATTGACGGCTGGACTTCAGGGGGAGAAGGCTTTGGCTCCGAGTTTGACTCATTTCCCGCATCCCCACCATCGCCTACATCGCCCACGGACACCTCAACCACACGAGGACAGGAAGTTGACGCAACTCAAGAGGACTCACCCATTGACGACGCAGCCGAAACAGGAGAAGGGGCTGCAGCAAGTGACTTACCTCGAGCAGGCGTCTCCATTCCTGAAGTTGCTGAAAGCAACGAAATGGAGAATGAAGCAAGTCATCTCTATGACTTTGCCTACCCACCTGATGGAATCGAGCTGGCAGCTCATGACGCAACTCCACGACGGGTTCACTTCAACCCAACAGTGACTGTGCTTGGAGGAGAAGGACACGGGACGGACGGCATGACAGGACTGGACGTGCTGTTTGGGAAACGACGGGCAACACAAGCGTTCAACAACCTTCCCAACTTGCAGCAACACGTGCTAGGATGTGCAGCAACCAGCATCCCCATGGTGGACTTGACGTACAAGGAGCCCAAAACGCTCAAGGACATGACAAAAGACCCGTACGCACCTCTTTGGCAAGCCGCTGAGGATGCAGAATTGGCTAAATTCGATGAGCTGGAAGCATACGAAATGGTGGACAGAGCGGACGTACCAACAGGAACGCCGGTGCTGACGGAAGGAGTCGTTTTAAGGGTGAAACGAGATGAGCACGGACAGCCAAACCGGTTCAAAGCGCGCTGGGTGGTCAAGGGATGCGGACAGACATGGGGAACATACGATGAGACGTATGCACCGGTCAGCCAAGGACCTACCTCTCGCATGTTCGTTGCTGGTGCATCTGCTACAAAGCGGAAGGTGGTGCAACTGGGCATCTCCAATGCATTCCTGTACGCTCCAATCGACCGGGACGTATACGTGAGACCACCAGAACCAAGGCGGGACGGAGACAAAGTCTGGAAACTCAAAAGAAGTGTGTATGGACTGAAACAAGCGCCACGTTTGTGGCATCAGCACTTACGGGGTGTTTTGTTGGAGCTGGACATGGTGCAATCCGAATCGGACCCATCTCTATTTATCTAGAAAAGAGAAGGAAAGGACACGGTGTGGCTACTCACCTACGTTGATGACATCCTCATCCAGTCTCATGACGACGAAGGCATTGAAGCTGTGATTCAACACTTGAAGCAGAACTTTACCTTGACCGTCAGCACGATTATGACGCAGTTCTTGGGTCTTAACGTCACTGCTAAAGCTGACCAGATCTCACTCGGACTCACTAAGTACATCTCACAGGCTTTGGCGAACTTCGGGATGGAAGGCAGCCGTTCCGGAGTCCGGACGCCAATCACCAAGGAACCTAGACCACAAGGAGAACCACCAGACGAGATTGACAGTCAATTGGTGCTGAAACAAGTGGGGACATTACTGTACATCTCAACAGCAGGGAGACCGGATATAACATATGCAACGCATGTGCTGGCGAGACAAGCAAGCAAGCCAACAGCAGCAACAGTGATTGGAATCCAAAGGGTGTTCAAATACTTACAGAACACTGCGGACGTGGGGCTGGTCTATGGAGGAGGGGAC